TCTCTCTCAGCCCTAGGAAGCAGGCAATGGCAAACCACTTCCAAAAAACCTTGCCAAGAAAACTGCAGGGACTAGTTCAGATAGTCACCAGGAGTCAAGGCACCCCCCCCCCCAAAAAAAAACAGCTTAGGGTGAATCCATCTAATGTATACTTGGGAAGCAATGGTTTGAACTAAGAGTCTCATGATTTGAGATTGGAAATTGCCAAGGACGGAGAATCAAGGATAGGCAATCCCCACCCTTATTCACTCCAAAAAGACAGAAAGCTTTTCAATGATTACTTGAGGCAGACAGGGAACAGTGAGCAAAGGCATATGCCAATGCTCCAGGAGCAAACTGACCTTTTCCCTGACAGAAATGCCATGTGCTCTTGGGCCTCATCAGGAGAAGATGTATCGCCGCTATGCCCTTCACTATGCATATCCTTTGCTTGCTTGGAGGTGTGATGGTGAAACAGAAGAATGAGTGGCTTGAAGGAAGTCCAAGCAATGCCACCTAAATGCTGACAATGGTCCCAACCCTAATCAGGCTATTCTGAACATTGCCATCACGCTTTCTTAAGGCAGAGAAGGGAATTCAAATGCTTAGCATTAGAGTCTTTGAATGACAGACAATACAGAGCCCCTGCTTTGGTGTGGCATAGCTATTAGAGATCTGTGTTTTTCTGGCCAACTCACAGAATATATCTTTTGCAAGACCATAACTCATTTCTAAGGCTCTGACTTGGAAAACTCTCATTCCAGCTTGGAATTGTGGGAAACTACCAATGGCCCCAGTCTGGTCATAAGTAGCTTTAGATACATTCTTGTACCCTCTTTTATCTTCGTAATCTGCCCAGCGTCTTGGGACTGGGGCAGTACTGACATTTTGCAAATTAAAAATAAATAAATGGCTCATTTCCCAAAGCTGAAACATCCACCAACTGAAAATAGGACCACAGAAAGCGATGAGTAAAACCATCCTTCAGAGGCAACCACTGCTGCGTTCATTCCTGTGTGGATGGGTGAGGTTGGTCTGTGTGAACAGCCAGGGCAGCAATCTGTATGACACAGACAGGTAATGAAACAGCGCTAGGCAGTTTGTGTGCAGCTGGGAGACCCGGAGCTCTCACTGTGTGTCACGGACTGCACAGAAATATACTGCAGGCTTTGAAGCCTCCTCTGGAGGGATGATAAGGGAAGAATGAGTCACTGCTTTTCTAGTTATTTGGTATTCCTTGTTTTCCATCCTCGGGTCACTTCCTGATATGGAGTAGCCAAGAAGCTGCAGCGCCTTCTCTCCATCGTTGCTCTCCTGGCGATACCAAAAGACACTCTTGTAGTTGCTATCATCATATTCGCAGGTGACACTTGTCTGGGTCCCTGTTTGGATGGTTTTGAAGCGTTCCTTCTGGGTCACTGTGAGAGCATGGCAAAGACCTGTATAGACTGGAGGAGAGGACAAGATCCATCAGAGGAGGTTTGCTCAATGCACATGGTCATACTTCAAATCCAAGGGGCTGCTGTTGCTTCAAATGCTCTTTCTCACACATTTTTATATTAAGGGCTTGCTTGTATACTACCAGAGAAAGACTTACAAATTTTAAAGGGAGACTATGGGGAAGCCTACCATGCCCCAGCCACTGACTACCTTTCTTTCACTCTATTGGAAGTATCTTATTTGAGATATTCCTCTCATTGATAACAAGTATCTCATAGTATCAGTGTTGAATGCTCTTAATGCCTTTTTATCCTTTTTAGAGCTATGGATGTCTAAGGGAGGGGATTCTTACCTGCCAACAGCTGCAAGCCAAGGGTCTCCCACCACATAGCTTCCATTGCAAGAGAATGTCATTGGATGATATCTGCCCTTGAATCCTGAAACACAGGAAACTCCCTTGAGCACCTCATTGGTGGGAGGAATGGCTTCTGAGCCTGTCCAGCCAATGAGGAAACAATGCTGGGGTCCTGCAAAGGCAGAGGAACTCTATTCAGACTGTACAATCAAACGGATAAATTAGCTCATCAAGGTAAAAGGAACACAGTCAGTCAAATGTGGTTAAGCCACTTATCACGAGGCAAAAAGCCAGCGCTTTCTGCTCTGATTGCTCTAGTAATTCACTGGTCTTTAACTTTAATTTTTATTTGCTGGGTTTGAGGGTTGTAATTGAAAAGCTTAGCCTCATTGCTTTTCTTAAGTATATGTCAAATGCCCTTTGTGCTTCCAGACAAGTGAGCTTCCAGCTTTATTCAGCCACATTCCAATTATGAGCTCCTAGAGTGATAAATAAAATTATTTCCTTCTTCTATCTTTAACCTCATATAGTTAAAAAGGTAAGTCCACTTCTCTTTATCAAATTCACACAAATTCTCACAATCCCTACAAAAGAAATGTACAAGTGTGCACACAACACACATACACACACACACACATACATCCCTCTCTTTCTGCAGAGAACAAAAAGTTTCAAAAATAGAGTAAGCGGACTTTGACAGACTGCTAAATAGATCTGCAGGTTGCCTATTCTAAACCAATAGTCTAAGTCTTGTTAATTCTCCAGTGACAGCCAGTTTGGCATACTGGTTCAGGCATCAGGCTAGAAACCAGGAGACCATGAATTCTAGTCCTGCCTTGGGCACAA